ATACAACATGACTGATAGCGGAGCAGAAAGGGAATACAATATGATGCTCGCCACTCTCCCTGCCCCTCTCTCGTTCTTCTCTCCTCGATCGCTTTCTCGTCTCTCCCCTCTCTCGTCTCCTTTCCCTTCTCTCTCTCTCTCTCTGCTCTCTCTCTCTCTCCTCTCTCACCTCTCTTTTCCTCCCTTCTCCTCTCTCTCTCTCTCACTCCTCTCACTCTCTCTCTCTCCCCCCTCTCTCCTTCTCGCTCCACCCTCTCTCTCTCCCTCCCTCTCTCTCTCCCTCTCCCCCTCTATCGCCATCTCCCCTTCTCTCTCCCTCTCCCCTCCTCTTTCTTTCTCCCCCTCTCTTACTAATTAGTCTACACGCATTCGGTACACATGCAGAGTACGCTTGATTTACGTCTCCTTAGCTTGTTCACACGCCCGATCTGACATGCGCGGGTGTTCATCATTCAATCACTAAGCGAACATGATTGCAGCGGTGACAGCTCACTGCTTAGTTAGCGCGGCAAGCAGCTCTCTATACCTGTCACCTTTAGCAGGTAGCACTCCCGCTGGCCGGTAAGCTAACGTGAACTATAGCGCGCTGCTGATTAGGAAAGGCAAGCGCGTGTTGTTTGCTCGCGAAAACTCCATTGTAACGTCGTTATTTTATTTAAGCATTTAATCCGTCGGGCAACGCAAGTCGCTAATATATTCGTGAGGGGATTTCGAAGCTGTGGTGAATTGTACGCGGCGGGGGTACACTCAGGCAGTCAGGTTCGTGCGAGGCTGCCATCGCAGATCAGTGGCATCGCGTGCTAAGCTTGTGCCCACGTGGGATAGTGGCAGTGGATCTACGTCTCGTAGAGACGGTCCATGCCCCCCACTCACATACGCGGGGCAGTGGCAGTGGATCTACGTCCCGTAGAGACATGCAGTCCATGCCCCCCACTCACACACGCGGGGTAGTGGCAGTGGATCTACGTCCCGTAGAGACAGTCCATGCCCCCCTCACACATGCGGGGTAGTGGCAGTGGATCTGCGTCCCGTAGAGACGGTCCATGTCTCCCCCTCACACATGCGGGGTAGTGGCAGTAGATCTGCGTCCCGTAGAGACGGTCCAGGTCTCCCCCTTCACACACGCGCAGCCAAGCACGGTTTAGGGTAACACACCTTGTCCACCCCATCCAACCACGGACAGCACTATCACATCCAATCTTGCCTGCCCCATCCAACAACGGTTTCAACTTTGGCGTAATACACCTTTCCCCACCCCCGCCCCCATTCAACCACGGACAACCCTATCAGGAGTGTATAATATAGATATACTATATTATACACTCTTGATGGCCCAACCGAATGCGACTGCGGGAAGGGCCCGACTATAGGGAATCTCCTGAAATGCCACTATTACCAGAGCCTTGTAGCCCTGGAGATCTTGAGGTTTTCAACCACCGTGCCAGGTCCTGTGTGCTGCAGTGGCTAGGTCGAGTGTAGTGTAGTGACCCGAGAAGAAGAAGAAGAAAAAGAAGAAGGAAGAAGAAGAAGAAGAAGAAGAAGAAGAAGAAGAAGAGGAAGAAGAAGCACGCTTGAGCTTATCATGTCCAACCTTGTGGACGTCGGCGTACCCTCTAGCTTGCTAACGAGGATTTGTATGTATGTGTGTTTGCAGACATGATCGTGAGACATTGCGCGCACAGTAGCGTCTACTCGACACTAGAGGACCTGATTCATCTCTCCGGTCCATTGACCGAGGACGCCATCGTTAGAGCTCTACAGACGCGCTTCTACAACGCAGACTTCTACGTAAGCTTAACGTGTGTGTGTGTGTGTGTGTGTGTGCGTGTGTGTGTGCGTGTGCGTGTGCGTGTGCGTGGTGCGTGCGGTCCTGATGGCATCCGAACCTGCGTCACGCCTAAGTGTGGTGCCGTTCTGGCTGCGTGTGTGTTGCAGCGCAGTTCCGGTGTGTGTGTATTGTTATTTTATGTGTGTGTTGTGCTCTGCGGCGCGCGCCGCTCGCGCGCGCGCTTGCGCTGCTGTGTTGGTGTGGTGTGTTGTGTGTCGTGTGGTGGTGTTTGGTGTGTGGTGTGTGTGTTGTTACGTGCGGCGCGCGCGGTGTGCGTCTCTGCGGCTAACGGCGGTTCCCCTGCCCGAGTCGGGAGATGACCGATCGCGCGGATGGATTCCGGTGAGCAGAGTAGACAGAGACCCGCACTGTGTTGTCGCAGCGTTGATCGACTGAGACGAGGAGCTTCGATGTGTGTGTAGTAGTTATTTATGTGACGTGTGTGGTGTTGGCCGTCCCAGATGAAGAGAGAGATGGAGAGAGTAGACGAGGAGGAGACGCGAGGAGAACACCTATAGAGTTGTCTCTGTGTTTGTGTGTGTGTGGGTGATGTGTCAGTGTGTGTGTTTGTGTGTTGTGTGTGTACGTGCGCGCGCCCAGCCGAGGTCTCACGCGCGTGTGCGTGTGTGGCGTGGGCTGTTGTTGCGCAGCGTTCGTTGTGTGTATGTATTTATGTTGGCGTGTGTGCGCTCGCTCGGCGCGTTCGGTCCTCGTGCCGCGTGGCCGCTGCGTTGCCAATCTGGTGTTAGTGACTTGACGCGAGCGAAGAGGTGTGGGAGGAGAGAAGGAGGGAGAGAGGAGTCGTCCGCGGCGGTTTGATATATGTGTGTGTGTGTGAGTCGCGGCGCGGGGGCTTTACATGTTTCATGATGGCGACCGCACTATGCCGTGCGTGGCCGGGCATGTCGTGCGGCTTGCATGCGGTTGCTGTCTGCGCAGTACGCTGAGGATCACCGCCTGCCGAGTGGCCCGTCTCTGCGGAGGGGCCCACCTGCTAGCGCGCGCTCTGTACTACGCGGCCATAGCGGTGACTTGCTCTTGCCGCGGTTGTGTGTGCATTGTTTGAGTGTGCGTGTGTCTGACGTCATGAGTGTGTGTCGGTACGGGTTCACCGACAGAGAGGATCGTTCCAATCCTCGTCTCACAAACACACGTTGCTGCGGTTAGCTAGCATTGCACACGCTTGTATCGATGCCCTTTGGGGGCAGGGTCATGGCACGAGAGGAGAGAGAGAGAGAGAGAGAGAGAGAAGAGAGAAGCGAGAGAGAGAGAGACGAGAGAGAGAGAGGATGGTGGTGGGTAATGAGTGTGTGATCGGAAGAGAAGAGAAGAGACGATTGGTTGCGTGGTTTGTCGTTGTGAGGTGTGATGAGTGGTGCTCTGGCGGGCAGACGCAGGAGATCGGCGGGCGGGTGTGTGTGTGTGTTAGGTGGAGTAGGTGCGGGAATCATGGCTGGTCGGTGGGGGTGTGGTGTGGTGTGGGAATGAGCGGGCCCCCCCCCTAGTTGTGTGGACGACGGCGCCCGGTTGTGGGAATGAGACGTTACACACAGTGCAGCATGCCGACGCAACTCGGCTTTCACGCAGCACCTAGCGCACGCACGCCAGCGCACACTCGCCACGCACACTCGCACGCACCGCCACGGCACCGGCACGCGCGCACACGCGACACTTCCCACCCCCCACCACTCCCACATCGCTGCACGAAGAAGAGAAGAACGAACACGAGGACCAGGCAACGACACGCCACGTGCTCGCAGCCGCAGCAGACGGCACGCGCGACGGCTACAACACGCAGCACAGTCCGACCAACGGCCACGCACACGACGAGACAGCACACACACACAGCACACACACACCCACACACACCACACGCACACCCACCGTCGTGTGTTGTGTGTCAATAGACTGCAGAGATGAGAGATGGCGTGAAGTCTGCGTGCTGTAGAGCGCGTCTGTATAAGAGACTCTTGACGGGATGGCGAGGAGATGGAGAGAAAGAGTGAGCCAACGAGAGGGGTGTTATGTGTCTGAGAGAAAGAGTGACGAGCACAGATAATGGAGGTCGTTCGCGCGTCGCGGCGGTGTTTCTAAAATTGCCGCTGACTCATTCGTCGTCCCGCCCGGCACCACTCTTCGTGGTAGTGATTGAGACGAGAGAGGAGGTGTGCGGGCTACGTGGCGTCGCTGAGTTGCTTTTTCGATGCAGTGCTTGGTGTGTGTGCTGGCCTTGTGTGTGTGGCGGTCGACTGGTAGACGACTACTGAAGTGCGCGCCAAAGGTGCTCGTCACGATCATGTTCTTGTGTGTGTCAGTGATGTATGTGATGTCGTGTTTATGTGCTTGTGTACTACACCCTTTCGTGTGTGGTTTAGGCAAGTGCATGTAGGGGTGATAGTTGTGTGTGTTGTTGGCCGTGTTTTGTGTGTGCTGTCGACGGTCCAACAAGGTGTGCAATTGATCAAGCATCAAGGTTGTGGAGATGGACCCTATGAGGAGTTCATTGCTTCTGAGTACTATATTTGTATGCATCTACATGTAGTAAAGTGTGTGTCCAGGAGAGAGGAGAAAGCTGTGTCGTTCCACTTGCTTCTTGTTTGTCCGTCTCTTGTCTTATTGTGTCGCCTTGTGGATCAGATTCTTCTCTAATTTTGTGTGTATCTTCTTCTTCTCTTCTTGACTTATTCTTTACTTCTTCTTCGGAGTCACTACACTACACTCGACGAGGTAAGCCACTTGCCAGCACACCAGGGACCTGTCACGGTGTGGTTGAAAACCTCAATGGAGTCTCCAGAAGGCTACATGGGCTCTGGGTGTAGCGGTAATAGGGGGAATTTCAGGGAGATGTCCCATATTCTGGCCCTCCGCCACGCAGGTTCGCATCTCCGGTCACTGGCCATTCAAGAGTGTAGATAAATATGTGACATATGATATAGTATACACTCCTGATTGTGGGCTGTGTTCGCCGAGTGGTTGGATGGGGTCGGTGGCTGGAATGTGTATTACGCCAAAAGTATAAACCAGGTTTTGTTGGATGGCCGGCAGCAAGAGTTGGATTGCTAATAGTTGTCTGTCGCGTGGTTGAATGGGGTCTGCAAGTCGTGTTTGTTCACGCTAAACGTGACTCGAGCTCGCCGGTGGTGTGAAGGTGGAGACCTCGACCGTCTCTACCCGGCGGTATATCCATCTGGCCCACTACCCGCGCGGTGTGTGAAGGACGTTAGGCGCTGGACCGTCGTCTACGGGAACGGCAGATCCACTGCCCACTACCCGCGGTGCAGCCTGTGCAATGGGGCATGAGGCCCTGGACCCGTCTCTTACGGGACGCCGATCCACTACATTACCCGCATGTGTGAGGGGGCATGGACCGTCTCTACGCAACGCAGAGTCTGCACTGATTCCCACGTCAGGCACAAGCTTAAGCACGCGATGCCACTGATCTGCGATGGCAAGCCTTCTGCACGCAACCTGACTGC